CCGGGCCGGATGGCTTCAACAGAACCTTCTTCTGTGCATGCTGGTCAATCATCAAGCTCGACGTCATGGCGGTTTTCCATCAGTTCTATCACCTCGCAGGAGGAGATGTGGCTGCCATCAACCAGGCCCTGATCATTCTCCTCCCCAAGAAGGACGGAGCGACTGCAATCACGGACTATCGCCCGATTAGCCTAATCCATTCAATGGCGAAGCTCATCTCCAAGGTTCTTTCCATGAGGTTGGCTAAGGTGATCCACACAATCATTTCACCGGTGCAGACGGCATTCCTCAAGACAAAATGCATCCATGATAGTTTTCTCTATGTGCAAAACACCGTCCTCCACCTCCACCGTCGCAAAACACCGGCACTGCTCATGAAGCTCGACATCGAGAAAGCGTTCAACATGGTCTCTTGGGACTATTTTCTAGAGCTACTGCAGCAGCTAGGGTTTAGTGCGCGCTGGCGAGATTGGGCGGCCCTACTTCTCTCCTCGGCATCCTCGGCGGTCTCTTTGAATGGGGTACCGGGCTACCACTTTGCTCACCACCGCCGTCTTCGCCAAGGAGATCCGCTCTCGCCGTTTCTCTTCATCCTCGCCATAGATCCACTGCACCACCTGCTAGCGGAGGCGGTCGAGCAACAACTCCTCCAGCAAATATCAGGCCGCGAGTTGAAGCTCAGGGTTAGCCTCTACGCCGACGATGTAGTCGTCTTCATCAACCCAAACCGCTAGGAGGTCGACTCCTTGCTGAGCATCCTACGCCAATTCAGACGCGCCATGGGACTATGCATAAACACCGCAAAATCCACGGCCTCGCCGATCAGCTCCAATGACCTAGACCTAGCTGATGTGCTGCACAACTTTGCCGACTCAATTGCCCCGTTCCCGATCAAATACCTCGGCCTCCCGCTTGTCACAGGCCGGCTTCGGCTCGTGCATCTGCAGTTTATCATAGATAGAATCAGGGCCCGACTGGCGGGCTGGAAAAGAAACCTAATCCACATCGTGGGACGACGAGTGCTGGTTCGCTGCGTCCTCAGCGCCATGCCCACCTTTGCGCTTACCGTGCTGAGGGTGCCCAAGAAGAACCTAAAAGAAATAGACAAGTGCCAAAGTTGTTTCCTTTGGAAGCAAGACGAGGAGATCTCCGGCGCCAGCTGCAAAGTAAGCTGGGTAGCGGTTTGCACGCCAACGAAAACTGGGGCCTGCGAATCCCTGACCTACCGCATTTTGGGGAGCTCTTTGCTTGCGCTGGCCCTGGCTCGGATGGTGCCACCCTGATCGACCATGGGTGGGGTCGGACTTGCCATGCAACGGCGCCGACCTCTCCCTCTTCACGGCAGCCACCTTGGTCACCATCGGGGACGGTGAGTCGGCGTCCTTCTGGTACACCCATTGGATGGGGTCGGGCACGCTCGCCCAACAATTCCCGCGGCTAGCCCAGCATGCCTGGCGAAAGAACAGGACGGTAAAGGATGCCCTCGTGGACGATGCCTGGATCAGAGACCTCGCCCATGGCCGTACTGAAGATCTGATACAAGACGTCCTAGATTTGCATAGGCGGATCCTTGGCACGGTCGGCCACCTGCGTGCGGGCACCCCCGATTCCATCAGATGGATCCTCGAGCGGACGGGCGAATACTTCGCAAGATCAGCTTATATGTTGCAATTCAGGGCATGACGTCCTCATGTTTCAGCAAGATCATATGGAAAGCTTGGGCCCGAGGGAAGATCAAGATGTTTTCATGGCTCATGCTGCAAAATAGGTTGTGGTGCAACGACAGACTTCAGCGTCGCGGTTGAAAAAATGAGTACTTCTGCCAGTTGTGCACTCGAAGCCTCGAATCCTCAAAGCATCTGTTTTGGGAATGCCCACTGACCAGGAGAGTTTGGGAAACGATCAGCTCATGGACGGGCTGCGCATCACTAGCTCTAGAGGGGAGATGGCAAGATCTTCGGCATTCCTCCATTGCCTGGCCACCCTGGACAGGACTGCACCCAGATGGCGCAAAGGCATCAACACGCTTCTGTGGCTTGTATGCTGGGAGATATGGCAGGAACGGAACAACGCCACATTCAGGAAAAGCACCCCAAGTGTCTGCAACATCATCAGGAGGATTACGGACTGCATCGAGCTGTGGCGAGTCGCGGGCACAACCTGCATTAAGAGCCCCTTCGGGGAACCACCATGAAGTGTAAACCCTAGGTTTTTTTGCCCTTTGAGGATTGCCGGTCTGTGGCAAGCCCTCGGATCCACCGGATCCACCCAACGCTTTCTGTTTTTCCACTGCTTCCTGCTTATCAATGAAAAGCCAGCGAAAAGCTGGATCTTTCAAAAAAAAACATACATGGATGTGTTTAGACAGGAACTAGCTACTGCCATTGCTCTAAGTTGGTAATGTATGGTTGATGTTAGAGATATGTATGAGCCCCTTTTGATTTGCAAACTTTATGCAAAATGTGAGACTATTGTTCTGTGAAATGTGCGTGAGACTTGATGCTCACACCATGATCAATTGTCATATTTGTTTCAGAATTTATGTAGTTGCAAAAGTATGATTTTCCCTTATGAATGCTCCCTGTAAATGCTAAAACTGCTTCTTCTTCTTCTTTTTATGGAAAGCTAAAACTGCTTCTGTAAATACACAAATCGGAATAACAGTGAAAAAAAGGCCATCTCTCACCACCGAACAGACCCATCATCATTGCTACTTCAAGGACCCAGCAAAGAAAAAAAATGAAAGCCTTTACACACGAGCCCACAAGTGGCCACAATATGCTCGTGGGCTTTCGGCCTGGCCAGTCGCTGGCTTCAGATGCTGCCGCACCGCACCGAACAGAACAGATCACCTAAAAAAAAAAAAGAAACAGATCGTTCGCTCCTGGCTGCTGGCGCTGGCGGACGGCCGTAGGCGACTGCCCTCAGATCTTCCTCTTCCCCCTCTCCC